ATTAATTGGACAGTATATACGCGCCATGCTTGTAATTGGACAGTACGCGTCATTTTGGGCGCGCTGTTGCGGTGCACTTTGTTGAGTAAACTGCTGTGTCTTACAGCATTCATAACGACGTTTAATCGTTCGGCGCTCATGATTACAGACCGAATTGGACTCCACTCAGTCCTATTACCATTATTAATAGTATAAATATTTCTATGCGTGACGCTTGCTTACATTGCGTGATTCCTCGATCGCGCGCGAAAGGAAATTTTCCTTGCAAAGAATCATGGAAGACTTTGACGTGTCAACGCATGCGCAGGAAGTAACCCAAAAACAACTGTTGTGCAGTTTTATACCGTGTTTGCGGGAAAATTTGGAGTAAAAGGCGGTGTTTTAATGACAAATTATTAGCTTTTTACAACCAGGATTGAGTTATATCCCAGCAATGTTACCAGAGCCTGCAAATTCGTCTTATTCTTCGTCTACAAAGAAGCGTTCCAGGTGTATGTCGACCTCCATGCAGTACAAATATCTTCGGCGGATTCTAAAATATCGTCATATGGATTTTGAATTTGCTCTGTGGCAAATGTTGTACCTTTGCATTTCACCAAGAAAAGTGTAAGTATGTTTCATCTTTTTTCGCGGACTGTAGACTTTGGGGGCTGAAGGCAGCTGTTTTTGAGATTGACTGACGTTGTTTCCATGAGCTTTTACTACGTAAATACATGTGCAACTTTGGCGATTTTGTCTTATGTTTCTACAGACGAAATTCTGGGTGCAAAAGCTATTTGTTTGCTTCTTTAAACTTAAACTTACTTTGAATTGAAATTTCCCCAGCTTTTTCTTTTTTGCTTATCCCTCAACATATTAAATAAAATTAATCATGCGTCTTCATTTCTTGTGTTTTTAATAATCTGTACAATTTTAGTAGGTCTTGTAAAAAGTGGGGAAGGACATTGCTGTGTTCTTTGCCTTTCAAGGGAATTTTATGTGAATTGAAGCAAACCTGGGACAATTTTACCCCATATTCTGTCCTGTGATCAGCTTTTTTTTCTGCTCATGAACAAGGCTATTATTTTATAGTGTTGTCTGTACATATTGCCCTGCAATGCCATAATTATATTTATCATAGTACTGCTTCATATGTTAAACATGTCTTGCATTTTTATTTCATCAGATACCGCAATTTCCATTACCACAAACGTAAGTATTGTTACATGCTGTCCAATATTTCAACAAGTAAAGTTTGTCATCTTCAGGGCCAGTACGACAATGCAAGGAAAACAGCAGCTCAGGAAGAGACTGTAGCTGTGTATATATCTCTTAACGTCAAATGAATGAGGGCTCTTTGTATGCAAAAAGTAAATATTCAGCATTTTTACACTGTAAGGACACCAATCTTTGATATTATATGAAGAGCATTCATTCTACAGTTGCCAAAAAATGTACAAAAAAATTTGTTTGTGTTGAGTCAAATCTACAACTTGACAAGGAAGTTGTAGATTTGGGTCACATAAAGCAAATTATTCAAGTGGTGCATTTGTCGTAAGGATGGTTGTCATGTGCGGCAAACTGTACCATCTAAATCAGCACTTAACTCATTGAAACATATTCCTTCCCTGTAGATGTAGCCCTCTTCCACTTGCAATGTTGTAAATCAAGTAAGGTTTATTGCATATATATCCCACACAACAGAAAGAGGAATATTTGATAATTCTCTAATAGGTATGGTCTAATCTCCTGCTACATCCTGTCCTAGCAAACAAATACATGATAAATTGTGGACTGGTGACCCCTAATGCTTCTTTGTATTTGCCAGATTGTTTTAGCCCTGCCACTTTAAATAGGACGACTTACTACTTACATGTGCTTTTGTACAAGTTTTACATCATCTGTATCTATATGGTCGTACAGTGTCCAAAATATCCATGCCATTAATTAAACTCTGACTGTTTCCACTGCAGAAACTAAAGACCAGTGGGCACGAGATGATCCAGCTTTTCTTGTGTTACTTAGTATTTGGTTATGTGGTAAGTGAGCAGTAGATATGATAAATTGCCATTGGAATCTTTGATACCTCTTTTAATGCCCGGAGGTATCCAGTACTGGAAATGATGTTGAGTTATAATGGACATTGTCCGACCAAATCTTGCTATTGTCCGACTAAGTTTATACTATGATCGAGCATCTTGACCATGCACCAAAATGACTTAGCTATTAGTCGTGAAGGTCTTGTTGCAGACCATGTTTACTTTGAAACGCATTAATAATCTGAAAATGCAGCGGCCTCTCATTGCTCTTAGCCTGTTTAGTGATGAGAAGGGGCTGTAGTTACAGGCTACAGTCTGTAGTTGCCGAAGTCCATAAGGGAGTTACATGTGCACTTCAAATTATGTGTTGGAAAAAACATTAAAGACTTTACTTCACTGAGACTGCTTACATTGTTTGTCCGCTAGTCTTATGGTTGCCCAGCACCTTATGCAGTTCCATTAGGGATGGGAAAAAATGTGTTATTTGTCACTGTGATCTTACTCACTCCCAAATGGTAATTTCAGTTTGGTTTGCCTCCTGATTGTCAAGAGTTGAAAACTGGTTCATCCAAACCTCTGAGCAAAATGTTTGCTCATCATAACATGACGTCTTATATATTATAATAAGTTATAGTAAACATGTTTGTAGTCTAACCATAATAACTTGAAAGTAAGGCTGCTATCAGATTCACAAATTCCATTATCTTTAGTAACAATTTCATTAGCCAAACTTAACCTGAGTTTGCATGTTCTTTGTTTTTGTATTGACAGGGTCTTCAATTGGCTTTGCTATTGCACTGAAGCTACATTTTTTAGGATTTTTTAAGTTCTTATTATGGGTTGTGTTTGTGGACTGCATTGGTGTTGGTCTCATCATAGCTTCATTATTATGGTAAGTGAAACTTAATAACACCCCTGTGAAGTTCAGTAAAAATGTTGCTAATGGGTTCCTGTTTGTCTTGGAAGTGTCATGTCCATGTCACAACTCAACTGTGGGTTTTCTTCAAATTCTCTGTGGTTTGATTCCAGAGTACATTTGCAAGGTGTACAATGTAAATAAAGATTTGCGGTGTAGTACAGTAGTATTGGTTGAAAAGTAATTTACAATAATTACTTTGCTAAGGCAAAATCTATGGTGATTTTATTCAAATAGTGACTTTTTCCTGTTCTTTGCAGGTTCTTTTGCAACAGATACCTACGGATATCCACAGCTCATGATCCTGGCCAGAGAGTAGAGTGGGCCTATGCATTTGACGTCCACCTAAATGCATTTTTCCCACTGCTACTTATTCTTCATGTCATCCAACTCTTTTGTATGCAGAGTAAATACCCTTTGTTTGTTAATGCACCAGTTGCTAAATACATTTAAATGTCTCAGGTTATAGGTAATGATCCTCCCTACTTTGCAGTACACCTTTATCTCCACCAGGTCCTCCAAGCACTTGTTGCAAGTTCCACCATATTTGTTAATGTAATAAGTTACTGGTCTTAGACTTCCTATCTCACTTTGACTAAATTAATTCTGGTTCTAAAAAATTTGAAGCACAGGTAAAAATTGAACTGCAATAGATATATACATCAGGACAGTCTGCTTTGAGTCACCTGGAGCCTTGATTTTCACACCTGTAACAAACTCATTCACCTGTAACAACAAGGGCCCATCAAGTATGTTCAGCCATAACAGGTGCCACAGATTATGGCCCTTATTGACAACCCTGTACATTGTACATTATAAGCGTCTGATCACAGGAATACCAATCTGTTGATTTTCTGTTTCAGTTATCATAGACCACCCACTGTTCATTTCAAGATTTATTGGGAACTCTCTTTGGCTCGTAGCTCTAGTGTATTATATCTACATCTCATTCTTAGGATACAGTGGTGAGTTAAACCCTGTCAGTGTAAGCATGATTATTAATTCAGAATAAATTTTCTACTCTATTGACCATAAATGTACAGTCATTTACAGGTACCGTACATGTAGTAACTACAATAATTTTAAAATTAGTGTAATGCCATTCTGAGAATTTTGTGTTACATCAAGACAATTTCCCCTTGCTGGTGATGATGATTGCTTTATTCTCATCACCTGTCTTTTTGACAATGGGTTTAAGGGACTACAATCTTGGTCAAAAGTCTTGAGACACTGCACTTTTGCTAACATATGGTCTTCTGTCCACCTCCCCCTCTCTGCCCCCAACACAGTGTTCATGATGATTCATTCAGGGAGGACCCACTATTCTCCAACATTGCTTTGGGGGAAAGGGGGCTTGGAAAATTGAATAATGACCTCCCCGTTTAAAGTAATGCATCACCAGTTGGCATTTGGTCAAGTGTCCCAAGGACTTTTTGCAAGGATTGTAGGTCATTCAATTTTTAGACAATTTTAGCTGTTACCAACTGGTCATGGACTTAACTTTAATTTGACATTAACAGCTTAAAACTATAGACCTCAAAAGAGAAACATTTATGGAAGCCAAAAAGGGACATGGATGGGCAAAATTAGAGAAAATTGAAACAGACTGTATAAGGGTTTACTTAAAACAAAAAATAGATAGTAGCTGGACTTTTTCTGTTGTTTCTCACATTAGAAAGTGGATGGAAAGTAAACTGTGTATTGAAGCTGTTGTTATACAGTGTAATGTTATTTGCAACTTGTCTTGCTGCATCATTGCAAGACTAGTTTGAGGGTCCCCTATACCTCTTCTGAAAACAGTTTCACGCAAAAGTAATTGGCCTTTTCACGCATCACGAAAAATTCGAAAAACAGCTTCACATTCACAGAAAAAAGTAAGCAATCACGTTTCACGTGAAAATGCAAAGGCTAAATCATGTTTCACGTAAAAATGCAAATTCTATTCACGTTTTGCAAAACATACAAATACAATCATTACAAAAATGTATCTGGCAATACTGAATGTACCACAGTAGATATAGCTGCACATGGCCATATTTTGATAATTTCAGACTCTCTTGTCGTCAGCATGCCTAGATCTTTTGTGGATTGGGTATTATGCATGTACAGTGGAACCCCGTTAACATGGACACCAAGGGGACATGCCAAAGTGTCCGTATTATCAGGGTGTCCGTATTGAGCCGTATTTAAGCGGGCTCTCAGATAAAAAGTCATGGACACATGTTTTATTGATACCATGGCAGACATTTTTTCGGCAACAAAACATTCTTTTGAGTGTAATGTAACTGTAAAATTAAACTATGGAAACCTTATGGTCATTTATCATACTCTCGGACTAAAATTAATTGTATAGTACTGTAGCACTTGAATAAGTCCATGGCTTTACTTTATACAAGGAATTAAGCAGGCATGTTAACACCATTAAAACATTGTTTACTTTCTTCTATAACTGTAACAAGTTTAGAGGTATGGAAACCTCACGCTCATCAAGCCTCAAGCCCTCTTGACATTGCAAGCTCTTTCAGGCCCAAGCCTCTGGTTAAAAACTTTGGTAACTAGAATGGATGATGAAAAAATAAAACAGTAAATAATTACACTGCATTTTTTCAGTCCAAAAAAGTAAATCAGATCACATTTTGGTAAACTAACCATACTGATGTTGTCAAAAGTATCAGGTGGAATTTCCAATTTAGACTTCTCTTTAAAGGCTGGCTCACTCTGACCTTTGAGATACCCCCACAACAAAATATTAACAGGAATGTCATCTTTCTCCTAGAATATCAAAGAAATATCAACTTTTAAAATTAATTATTATAGGCTAAAGGCTTACATAAATACTACATAGTTATTTTCAAGTACAGCTTGATCAGACAAATGGTTCAAATCAAATCCTAGTCTCAGTGCATGCATGCCTTTCAGAAAGGATCAGCCAGCAGATTTGACACCATTTGATATTTTTATTCAATTTTCTATTTATCGAAATTTAATTTTTGTTTTGTTTAGCTAATTATCTTGTTCTTTTCAAAGGAGGTATTTAATCATTGTGGTTAATGTCAGGTGTTTTGCTCAATTAATGCCAAAAGAAACAAATAAGCAATATTTTAATTATTTTTAGGCTTTGTCAATTGGTTCCACAGAATTTCAGGAATTGTAGGTTTAGCCTGTACTGTACACTTTTACATCATAAAAGACCATAAAGAAAAATTGACAAATACAAAATATAAAAATTGACAAATACAAATATGAAAACCAACAGGACTGGAGAAAAACCTGAAATATAGGATTTGTTTTCATACACTTCATCGCAACTAGAACTGGGATCGAGTGGTGAACATATTTGAGATTTTTGGGAAAAATAGCACTGTTTACATGCACTTTGATGCATTATTACATCCAAAGATGTCTAAATAATTTTTGTTCTTACAGCATCTTACAGAGGTTACAGAGACACTATCTACAAAGGTTGACAATGCAGACTGCAGCTAGGTCATGCACAAGGTCACCAAGCAATAAAGATGACAAAATGAATAAAATATGCA